CTTAGGTATGCAGCGTCTCCCTCTGGGCCGAGGTTTCTAATCATTTTATAGGTTATTTTGTCGGTTCCAGGGGATGTATCCTTGGAGTTTTTCTTAGCCCGATTGAGCTCATCCAGTGTGAAGGGGGCATTAGTATCAGAGACTTCTTCACATGCTGTAAGGATTCTGTGCCACCTTTCTTCCTCTAGTCCGGTCTGTACTGCTAATACATCTGGTGGAAGTTGATTGCTGGCTGCTCTCTCTGCAAACCTGATTGCCAGTACTTCGGCTTCCTGTTGAGGATCCTTGGGGTGTGGAGCTTTAGGTTTTTTATTCCCTTTGGCCCGGTGAATTTGCTGCCACATCTCCCCGAGAGAGGTGTGTTCATTCAGGTGTGAACACCATTCCAGCCACTTTTGTTCTTTTTATTGTCTGGTCTCTCGATGTACATGTTCCTTGACCTCACAAAGTAAGATCCTGTTGCGGTCACTTGGCTGCTTTTTTTGTATAGCTTTCTTGTTCTATTGAGTCTATGGGTGAGTTCTTTGACACGTTCGCAATAGTACCAATGATCTTTATGGTGTCCGGTGGACTGTTTTTTCAGTGGTATTGAGTGGTTGGCTGCACTTTGAATCGCTTTGACAAATTCTTGTTCTGCCTGATTAATGTCTTCGGGAAGATCATAGTTTCTTTGCCACTCTGAAATGAGGTTTTGAAATCGGTCCCAGTTTGCTAAAGCAAAGTTCCAGGCTTCAGATGGAGGCGGAGGTGGGGTGGGTAGGTCTAACTGAAGATCATTTGGACCCCATAGTGGTCGCTTGTGAGTGTGGGCTCAACTGACCATGTTGCTTGCATCTCTTAGGGAGGCTGAAACGAAGGTTAGGTCTAATCTGCCTCCTTGGATGTGGGTAGGTTCATTCTTGTTTAGGGTTTGTATTTCTGGAAGCTGGTCCAGTAGATGTGTAATGTGTATGCCGGCTTCATTTGTTGTGTTCGAGCCCAGTGCCAATCGATGATGGGCATTAAAATCTCCACAAATGATTGTGTTTGTTGTTGTCGCGTGTCCAAATAACACAGAGAGATCCATTTCGGCTTGTGGAGACCTGTACACATTGAACACTTCAAGTTTGTCGTGTCTTAGCTCAATGGTGGCTCCTATTACCTCTGTCCCTGCTCCACAATTGGGTGTGCTGGTTATGGACTTGGAGATCAGGTCACATTTTACATAGATTGCACATCCCCTGGATTGCCCATTGATCCATGGAAGGAAGAAGCCTCGATAGCCTGAGATTTTAGGTTCTAATCCGGCTCGAAGCAAGCTCTCCTGTAGTATCAGGATATCTATGCCTTTGGTTGCTGCTATGCATTGCAAGTGTTGCAATTTAGTGCGCAGTCCTTGCGCATTCCATTGCAGGATCTTTAGACCTCTAGGTTTTTGGAATTTGCTGATAATTCCGTGGTATCCATGGAGTCTGATGAACACGCCATGGAAGTTGCAATTGGTGTATAGGTTCTTAGTGGACCTGAAATTGACTCAACAATATCGCTTTCCGACGAGCTGGACTCTATCTGTTTGATATGGGGGTGTCTCCTGCCCTGCTGTCTTGACGGTGTGGATATTACATCTTCGAATTTTTTGAGCTTGTGCTCAATTGTCTTCCGAGTCTCTGTGGTTTGCTTGATTCCATGTGAAGACAGCAGACTTTCGATTAACTCAGTGACCAAAGTTTTGAGCATTGGCCAGAGAGCGTTCAGTTCAGTGGGAGCACTATTTAATGTTGTGCAGGTTGAGGGCCTAGTGGCTTTTAGACCCTTCTCGGTGGCAACTTTGGCACTGGAATTGCTACTCCTATTGGCCCCAGTGTGCTTGCTGGATGAAATGGGAGGCCGACTGCTTTGAACATGATTCTTGTGTCCTCCATCTTTCTTTTTGTCCTGTACTGTCTTCTCACCCTTCACCATGGCCGATGGTGAAGGGCCGTGTGCCCCCTCTTCCTGAATGGGTAGACCCCACGCGGTTTTAGTGGGCATGGAAGCTGGTATTCGTTTTGGTGGGGGTTTTGAATAGAACTTACGCATCTCCGATTTTATATCTACATTTGAGTGAATAGAACTTACGCATCTCCGATTTTATATCTACATTTGAGTGAGGTGGATGGGGTGAGGTGGCATTAATAGGGTATTAATTTCATCAACACAAGACAGAACAAGAGGTGGCATTAATAGGGTATTAATTTCATCAACACAAGACAGAACACGAAACAATGGGTATTGAATAGAAGTATTTTACTTAAATAGAACTTATTACATTTTCAAAGACTTTAGTTTACACATACACAACTGAATAGAACTTACACATCTTCGATTTCTTTATATCTACATTTGAGTGAGGTGGATGGGGTGAGGTGGTATTAAGTCTTTGAAAATGTAATAAGTTTTACGAAACGCGCTCAAGTGTCGCGTCAGACTAGAAATAAAAATGAATTTTGGAGAATTGATTTTTGAATTACCACCAACAGTGAAAAGAAACGTACGAAAGATCGAGAAAATTCGTGTTAGAATTATTAATCTTACTTTTTCGGTCATATATAATAATATATACAGGAAAGACTGCTACCAAAATATACTATATATATATATATATATATATATATATATATATATATATATTATGTTGTACCTAGCAGCCAGAACGTCGTACTCGGCCTACTATGCAAGGTCCGATTTGCCTAATAGGCTACGTTTTTCCTGAATTTATATATTTTTCTATTGTTTTTTCTTATGAAATGCTAAATCAGTCTATTTCACACACACACACACACACACACACACACACACACACACACATGTTTATGTGTGCCGATCTTCAAGACAGGTGATAGGGAGGAGGCACTTAACTATAGACCTGTATCACTGACAAGCATCCCCTGTAAAATACTGGAAAGAATAATTAGGCTACGACCTGTTGCACACCTGGAGAACATTAGGTTGTGAACAAACATCAACATGGGTTCTGGACAGGGAAATCGTGCCTAACAAACCTTCTGGAATTCTATGATAAAATAACGAGGATAAGACAGGACAGAGAAGGTTGGGCAGACTGCATATTTCTGGACTGCCAAAAAGCCTTTGATACAGTACCGCACATGAGACTGCTGTTCAAGCTCGAGAGGCAGGCGGGGGTGGGGGGAAAGGTCCTAGCATGGATAAGGAACTACCTAACAGGAAGGAGCCAAAGAGTTACGGTAAGGGGCGAGAAGTCGGACTGGCGAACAGTAACAAGTGGAGTACCACAAGGATCGGTGCTGGGACCAATTCTATTTCTTGTATATGTTAACGACATGTTTACAGGCGTAGAGTCCTACATGTCGATGTTTGCGGATGACGCAAAGTTGATGAGAAGAGTTGTGACAGATGAGGATTGCAGGATCCTCCAAGAGGACCTGAACAAGTTGCAGAGATGGTCAGAGAAATGGCTACTGGAATTCAACACGAGCAAATGTAAAGTTATGGAAATGGGACTAGGAGATAGGAGACCAAAGGGACAGTACACAATGAAGGGGAACAGCCTACCTGTAACGACGCGTGAAAGAGACCTGGGGGTGGACGTAACACCTAATCTATCTCCTGAGGCACATATAAATAGGATAACGACAGCAGCGTACTCTACACTGGCAAAAGTTAGAACATCATTCAGAAACCTAAGTAAGGAGGCATTTAGGGCGCTTTACACTGCCTACGTAAGGCCAGTCTTAGAGTATGCCGCCTCATCATAGAGTCCCCATCTGAAGAAGCATATAAAGAAACTGGAAAAGGTTCAGAGGTTTGCAACGAGACTCGTCCCAGAGCTACGAGGGATGGGGTATGAGGAGCGCCTGAGGGAACTGTGCCTTACGACATTAGAAAGAAGAAGGGAGAAGGGGGACATGATAGGAACGTATAAGATATTCAGAGGGATTGACAGAGTGGACATAGACGAAATGTTCACACGGAATAGTAACAGAACGAGGGGACATGGATGGAAGCTTGAAACTCAGATGAGTCAGAGATGTTAGGAAGTTTTCTTTTAGCGTGAGAGTAGTGGGAAAATGGAATGCACTTCAGGAACAGGTTGTGGAAGCAAATACTATTCATAATTTTAAAACTAGGTATGATAGGGAATAGGACAGGAGTCATTGCTGTAAACATCCGATGCTCGAAAGGCGGGATCCAAGAGTCAATGCTCGATCCTGCAGACACAACTAGGTGAGTACAACTAGGTGAGTACACACACACATATATATATATATATAATATATATTATATATATATATATATATATATATATATATATATATATATATATATATATAATGTTTATTATATATATTATATAATATATATAAGGGTATATATAATATATCTATATATATATATATATATATATATATATATATATATATAATATAAACATATATTCACAAACATATTACACAAATATATACATATATACACATACATGTTTATGTGTATATATGTACAGGATCCATTAAACCACTCGACCTTTTGTCCGGTCGTGTTGGTCGAGTGGTTAAGGGATCCTGTACATCAGTTGCATTGCTTCTGGCAGTATGGGTTCGAGTCGCTTCTGAGGTCGAGTTCTCGATATATATATATTATATATATATATATATATATATATATATATATATAATATATATATATATAATATATATATATAATAATAACAAGCCTGAATATAATGTGTGTGTGTATTTTGAGTAAAATTGTGAAAATCGAAGTAACTAACATTGCCGAGTTACCCCTGCCATGACGACCTTGTGTTGGAGATAAGATAAAGTACGCGTGGTCCGGACATTAACTCAATATACAATATGCTGGAGAGTTACCTGTGTTGGTGGTCAGCGATCTTCTCCCACGCTTTAATTGGATGGTTCCTCGAAGTTGGCTACGAAAAGTGTGGTCGCTGCCTTCCTCTCACAGAGATTATTAGTATTTTTTTGTTTTCTTTTGAATGTAAGAGAGCGGGACGAGCCTCAACGGAACGGGACGAGCCTCGTCGGAGTGGGACGAGCCTGGACGGAGCGGGACGAGCCTGGACGGAGCGGGACGAGCCTGGACGGAGCGGGACGAGCCTGGACGGAGCGGGACGAGCCTCGTCGGAGCGGGACGAGCCTCGTCGGAGCGGGACGAGCCTCGACGGAGCGGGACGAGCCTCGACGGAGCGGGACGAGCCTCGACGGAGCGGGACGAGCCTCGACGGAGCGGGACGAGCCTCGACGGAGCGGCACGAGCCTCGTCGGAGCGGGACGAGCCTCGTCGGAGCGGGACGAGCCTCGTCGGAGCGGAGCGGGACGAGCCTCGTCGGAGCGGAGCGGGAGCGGGGCGAGCCTCGTCGGAGCGGGGCGAGCCTCGTCGGAGCGGGGCGAGCCTCGTCGGAGCGGGGCGAGCCTCGTCGGAGCGGGGCGAGCCTCGTCGGAGCGGGGCGAGCCTCGTCGGAGCGGGGCGAGCCTCGTCGGAGCGGGGCGAGCCTCGTCGGAGCGGGGCGAGCCTCGGGAGCGAGCCTCGAGCGGGGCGAGGAGCGGGGCGAGCCTGTCGGAGCGGGGCGAGCGGGAGCGGGGCGAGCCTGGACGGAGCGGGGCGAGCCTGGACGGAGCGGGGCGAGCCTGGGCGAGCCTGGACGGAGCGGGGCGAGCCTGGACGGAGCGGGGCGAGCCTGGACGGAGCGGGGCGAGCCTGGACGGAGCGGGGCGAGCCTGGACGGAGCGGGGCGAGCCTGGACGGAGCGGGGCGAGCCTGGACGGAGCGGGGCGAGCCTGGACGGAGCGGGGCGAGCCTGGTCGGAGCGGGGCGAGCCTGGTCGGAGCGGGGCGAGCCTGGTCGGAGCGGGGCGAGCCTGGTCGGAGCGGGGCGAGCCTGGTCGGAGCGGGGCGAGCCTGGTCGGAGCGGGGCGAGCCTGGTCGGAGCGGGACGAGCCTGGTCGGAGCGGGACGAGCCTCGCCGGAGCGGGACAGTTGAACCTATTACACTTGGGGTGGGATGCAACCCATCCTCCTGTTTAGAGTGTACCTATTGTGACGATCGTCAATAGTCTGAACTCGTAGGTTCTTACCTTTTAGATAGAATACTGACTAGTAAGGAATTCTTTTAAAATAAATGAAGGTAAATGCAAACTTAAATATTCCTAGGCCTAGTATAGCACACATATGTACTATATTAGGCCTCAGAAATCGTGTATTAGGCCTAGGGAAGTTAGGATAGGTTAGTTTAGTTTGTCGAAGAAATACTGGTAAAAAACTAGTTTTCCGATTTGTCCAACTCTATAGTTCAGACTTCTACTTTCTAATTTTGTTATACATCGGTTTATATACTATGTATATATTTATACATACAATGTAAAGTAGGGGGTACTACCTCTGGTGCAATTGTAGGGACCCACAGCCTCGAAGAGGGGAACACAGAGCATTCAGAGAAAAACTTTCCATTTAGCTTTGAATGCGTATGAGTGTTCACTTCTACCACCCACCTTTTGATATGGTGTACACTTTATTATACAAGGTTATACAGTTGCATATCTGTTTATAAAAAGAGAACATTAAGAGGAAATAAGGGGAAGTTTGTTTTCTGGAGGCTATAGATTTCTTGGACTCCTCCGACGCCGGGCAGAAGCCGAGCAATGGCCGAATGCTGCGGGCATTCCCCCTCTGGATCGCTACACTGAGGCGCTAGAAAAGAAAACTTGCTGCTCTAGGATCGCTTGTAGTGTCAATGAACCTGGAACCAAGATCCTTAAGAAACCTTATTGCTCTCTCTCTCCATGGACTGATGCTATTGATGGAGTGATATTGATGGAGTCTCAGATCAAGACTGGAACGAAGTTGTACCGATGATCTATTTCCCTGTACTTGATTGACTTGTTTCGTTTTTTGTGTGTCGACGCGGCTCCTGCTTGGCCGACAGAGAAGTTGATGTATGTGGTTGCCAGGGTGGATACGCAAGTGTAGTTCCACGCCAACTGTCTGCCACCCTTCCAAGGGCACAGTGTGATTCCTTCTGGTCGGCCGGCAAAGATAGTTATGGTTCAATAGATTGTGGGGTTCTCTCTCTGCTGGACACTGGGCAGAGGCAAGGCTCCTTTTAATGATATCATTGACTTCGTCGTGTCTAGTGTGCCAACCACCAGATTTTCCACAGTGCAGGCCATGCAATCCATATTCGTCTGCCTCTGCCTTGCTACAAATACACATATGAACAGTGTGGATAGGGGCAGCAAGGCGGAGAGCGACTGCAATACGGAGCTCCTGCGGATCAAGACGTGTACCTGTCGCAGACATAGGGACTGCCAAAAGGAAGTCCCCTGCATGGGGAGCCTGCACAGCTGTGAGGCGTGCACGATCACTGGGGGTTGTTGCTGCCTCCAGCAAAGCTGTGGCTTCTTTGTCTTCAATGGGGCTGTCCCAGCTGGTTATATTATATTTATATATTTATATATAATAATCTCATCGTTACTATAAGTACTAGCAAAACAGGATATTTGGCTGGGGATTGTCGGGGGTCAGCCTCCTCCTACCTTACAATACATACAATAGCGCTAACTGTTGCTGGATACATAGTGGAAGGCATCCTTCAGTCTCGGGAGACTATGGAGTTGCGCCCTAGTTGTCAATCCTGGTGCAGCGTCTGGTGTGACTGATGAGGCCAATCCCAGAGTGGCAGTCCATCCCACACCGAGCACAAACGAAGTCCGATTCTGGTCTGTCTTCCTGACTACCGGCTTTCCTTCTCTGTCTCTTTGCCTCCGATGATTTGGCAAGTGACTCCTCGAACTTGGAGAGACCTCTTTGAACAGACTGCCTCCAGGCTGAACGGTCTGCAGCCAGTGTCTCCCATATAGCAAGATCGACGTCCGTGGCTTTCAGGTCCCTTTTGCATACGTCTTTGTACCGTAGCTGGGGCTTGCCTGTTGGACGCTTTCCCTGCCTCAGCTCTCCGTACAGGAGATCCTTGGGGATCCTGCCGTCGCCCATTCGCACAACGTGCCCGAGCCAGCGCATTCGTCTCTGTGTCAGCATTGTGTACATGCTGGTGATTCTTGCTCTCCCCAAGACGTTGTTGTCACCTTGTCCTGCCAGGTGATGTCCAAGATGTGTCTAAGGCAGCGCATGTGGTAGGCATTCAGCTGTCTTTCCTGACGGGCGCGGAGTGTCCAAGACTCACTGCCATAAAGGAGAGTGCTCAGGACACAGGATCTGTAAACCTGAATCTTAGTATACTCAGTTAGCCTATTGTTGGCCCACACTCTCTTTGTCAGTCTGGACATGATAGTAGATGCCTTACCGATGCGTTTGTTTAGCTCCGTATCAAGAGAGAGGGAGTCAGAGATTGTGGAGCCCAGGTACACGAAGTCGTGAACGACTTCCAGTGTGTAATCGGAGATGCCGATGTCAGGTGGGGAGTCCACTCCTTGTCCCATGACTTGTGTTTTCTTCAGGCTGATGGTGAGTCCGAAAGCCTGAGAGGCCTCGCTGAAGTGGGTCATGAGCCGTTGGAGGTCTTCGGCTGAGTGGGCAGTGACTGCTGAGTCGTCGGCAAAAAGGAAGTCGTGGAGACACCTCAGTCGAACCTTTGTCTTGGCTCTCAGCCTGGCGAGGTTAAAGAGCTTTCCATCCGACCTGGTCCGGAGGTAAATGCCTTCCGTGACAGATCTAAAGGCGTGCTGCAGCATAACTGCAAAGTAAATCCCGAATAGGGTTGGAGCCAGTAAGCAGCCCTGCTTTACTCTGCTCCGGATGTCGAAGGCGTCTGATGTTAGGCCATCAAAGACCACGGTGCCCCTCATGTTCTCATGGAAAGATCTGATGATGCTGAGGAGCCTGGGTGGGCATCCGATCTTGGGGAGGATCTTGAACAGGCCATCCCTGCTGACGAGGTCGAAGGCCTTCGTCAGATCTATGAAGGCTATGAAGAGTGGTTGCTTCTGTTCCCTGCGTTTCTCTTGCAGTTGTCTGAGGGGAAAACACCATGTCGATGGTGGACCTGTCAGCTCGGAATCCGCATTGTGATTCTGAGTAGACTCTGCAAGTGCTTGGAGCCTCTTCAATGTGTCTCGAGCAAACAGCTTTCTAATCTATGTATGTATATATTTATGTTGCTGGACGTATGTATCCAGCACATACAGTGCTGGATACATACGGTAGTGCTAACTATTGCTGGATACACATTGTAGCTCTACGTATTGTTGCATACATAAAATAACGCTAACTACTGCTGGACACATACAGTACCGCTAACTATTGGTGGATAAATACAGTAGCCGTGTTGGTGGATAAATACAGTAGCCGTGTTGGTGGATACATACAGTAGCACTAACTATTGTTGGACACATACAGTACCGCTAACTATTGGTGGATGCATACGATAGCGCTAATTATTCGTGGACACATACGGAAGCTCTAGCTGTTGTAGGATACATGAAGCAGTGCTAACTATTGCTTGATAATACAGTATCGGTAGATACATACGATAGCGCTTTTGGCGGATACATAGAGTAGCGCCAACTATTGACAGATAAAAAGCAGCGCTCTGTATACATACAGCAACGCTAGCTATTGCAGGACACATTCACTGGCACTGACTACTGCACTGCTCCCCACTTGTACAAAAGTCATAATGTTATCTGAAATCAATGAAATATGGAATCACCTTTTTTTATGTGTTTGGTGTTTGTTTATGGGAGGAGGGAGTGAGCGCGCGGCCCTGTGGAGGGGCGCGCGGGGCGGCTCACTCAACTGGTGCGGCAACAGTCAAAACTTTTGATCAAATGGTCGTTTGGGGCTTCAGCTGGGTCGTTTCACCAGGTATAATGTGTGTGTGTGTGTGTGTGTGTACTCACCTAGTTGTGCTTGCGGGGGTTGAGCTCTGGCTCTTTGGTCCCGCCTCTCAACTGTCAATCAACAGGTGTACAGGTTCCTGAGCCTATTGGGCTCTATCATATCTACACTTGAAACTGTGTATGGAGTCAGCCTCCACCACATCACTGCCTAATGCATTCCACCTGTTAACTACTCTGACACTGAAAAAATTCTTTCTAACGTCCCTGTGGCTCATGTGGGTACTCAGTCTCCACCTGTGTCCCCTTGTTCGTGTTCCACCCGTGTTAAACATTTTATCTTACAGTGTCGTAAGGTGCATTTCACACAGCTTTCCTCGTAATTCATGCCTCTTAGTTCTGGGATTAGCCTATTGGCATACCTCTGAACTTTTTCCAGCTTCGTCTTGTGCTTGACAAGATACGGGCTCCATGCTGGGCCCGCATACTCCAGGATTGGTCTTACGTATGTGGTATACAAGGTTCTGAATGATTCCTTTCACAGGTTCCTGAAGGCAGTTCTGATGTTAGCCAGCCTCGCATATGCCGCTGATGTTATTCTGTTTATGTGGGCTTCAGGAGACAGGTTGGTGTGATATCAACTCCTAGATCTTTATCTCTGTCCGTTTCATGAAGTACTTCATCTCCCATTCTGTATCCTGTGTCTGGCCTCCTGTTTCCACTGCCTAGTTTCATTACCTTACATTTACTTGGGTTGAACTTTAGTAGCCATTTGTTGGACCGTTCATTCAATTTATCTAGGTCATCTTGTAGCCTCATACTATCTTCCTTTGCCTTTCTCCTCCTCATATTTTTGCATCATCAGCAAACAATGAGAGGAACGATTCTATGCCCTCTGGGAGATCATTTAAATTTATCAGAAACAGAATACGTCCAAGGACTGAACTCTGCGGGACTCCACTGGTGACGCCTTGTCAATCTGATACCTCACCCCTCACATTGATTCGCTGTCTTCTGTTGCTTAGGTACTCCCATATCCAATGGAGTACCTTCCCTTTCACTCCTGCCTGTATCTCTAGCCTTTACACTGGTCTCTTGTGTAATGTGGCATTCTGGCAGTAGAGAAATACGCAGTCTGCCCACCTCTCTTTTGCCTGATTTTTGTTACCTGGTTGTAGAATTCAATTAA